GTCGTGAAAAAAAAAAGTAAAGTACCCGCCGGGACTTTGGAGTTTAACAGGTTAAAAAACCTGCAATATATACCGCAGGGGGGGAAAAAACCGCAATGTCAGTTTTCTTTAATAACTAGTGCTGTAAACATTAACACTTTAACTTATGTGATTAATCATCCTCCTGTTATGTCAGCACCGATGTTTACCCTGAGTTATATGGCATTCAAATGGCAAAGAAAGCGGATACATTGGCACAAGCAACATGTAATGCACTGACTGGAGACCACCTGGACATCAGGAAAGAACCATCACTACCTCGGTGTAAAGACACAGCGGCACTCATTACTTAGGTGTGTTGAAAACAGAGAAAAGGTGTTGTGCTGAAGAGAAGCGGCAGAGAGAATATGTCCTGTGTTGCGCACAATATACAAAAGGGGAATCACTGCGACTCTCCGTGACAGCGACATGCCAATAATTCAGAAATCATGTTAAGAAATTGCCAAAAAATGTCAGAAATATCCAACCCAGTTTGTCGTGCCATGTTCTTCATTACAACACCACCTGTGTATATGTTTTATCTCCCCCCAAATACAAGTATCACTATTGTCATCAAGGTGATAAATGTTTATATTGATTGACAGCACATAAAACCTATGAATTTCTTCAAAGATTCATAGGTTTTATTGCCATACGCACAAAACTACAGTGTAGAAATGGAAATGAAATTCTTCTGAGACTTGAGCCTCTTCCCAACAATGCAACATATATAATAAAATACAAATAAAAAGTAGTTGCCAAAAAGTCTGCATGTCAATAGAATATGGGATATGTACAAGAACAGAATATGAATTAAATAATGTAAATTAAGACTAAATCAAATAATAATCAAGGTAAGTATTTCGTGTTCCTGTACCTATGTCGTCTTTTTCACACTTCATGTAGTCTGCAAAGGTCGTGCGGCAGAGCTCGTAGGCCCCGAAGAAGCAGAAGTACCCGGGCACCTCTCTGGCGATGGTGGGGGTCAGACCCTGGAAGAAGCCCCGCGGGCCCCTCAGCCCCTCATGATGGATCTCACCAACGACCACACTGTTGCTGCAGACAGTAGCAGAGGAGCGTCAATGCACAAACACACACTGACAACAAAAATATAAGCAGATTAAAACATTCTCATGCATGACTTTATAAACAAAATATTGGGATGAACAGTTTTTGAGCAGTTCTGGTTTTACAATAATGAATTCATAATTAAATGTGGTAAAAGGTCTAGATTTCTTAAGTTCCATATCGCTAAGTCTGAAACCCAATTATCTTTATCTTCCATTGACCTGGGTTCCCTGCAACAGCTTGCAAAACCCATGGTCACAAATCTGGGTGTCAAAATCGACAGTGCGTTTTTAACTTAGATAAACAGATAAACTCTGTGGTTAAATCCAGTTTTTATCACTTGAGGCTCCTGTCCAAAATTAAAACCGGTGTTATCCTTGTTTAAAAACTTTGAGCGTGTGTAATTCATGCCTTTGTTTCATCACTCGTTTAGATTATTGTAATGCACTTTATGCCGGCCTAAATAAGACTTTGCTGGCCCGCCTGCAGCTTGTACAAAACGCTGCGGCGCGGCTGCTTACAGGAACCCGCAAGTTTGACCACATCACACCAGTTCTGGCTTCGCTCCACTGGCTTCCCTCCACTGGCTTCCCTCCACTGGCTTCCCTCCACTGGCTTCCCTCCACTGGCTTCCCTCCACTGGCTTCCTGTCCATTTTAGAGTCCATTTTAAGATTGTATTGTTTGTTTTTAAATCTCTTAATGGGCTGGCCCCAGAGTACATCTCCGACCTCTTACAGGTGTACACCCCCTCAAGGGCTTTGAGGTCGGCTGATCAGCTGCTGCTTGTAGTCCCAAAAACAAAACAAAAAGACCGGGGGAGACCCGAGCGTTCTCATCGGTAGCCCCCAGGCTCTGGAACGACCCTGCCCCCTCAGGTTAAATTGTTCGCCCACTCTTGAAGTTTTAAGTCCCCGTCTAAAAACCCACCTCTTTTTCCCTTGCTTACCAGTCAGTCTGAGCTTATGTCTTACCTATTTGTATGCTTTTAACTTGTCTGTCCATAGCCTTTATTGTGCCTTGTATTATTCTTATGTGTGCTTTTATTATCTTTTCTTATGTGTGCTTTTTATCTATTCGTGTAATATTATATTTTATTATAATGTTATGTTCATTGTGAAGCACTTTGGCAAACCCTCTGTTTTTAAACTGTGCTATATAAATAAAGTGGATTGGAATTGGATTATCATAAGAAACCCAATATATCAAAACGTTTTGTAAAAAAATTCTTTTATGATTATTAACCTTTAAAGGGGACACACTCATTTCAGGTTCATATCTTTATTTAGTTCCTCTACTGTGACATGTCTCCATGTTTAATGTTCAAAAAGCTCTTTATTTCTCTCATACTGCCTGTGCTGCAGCAACCTCTTTTCACACCCTCTGTCTGAAACCAGAGCCCAGTCTGCTCTGATTGGTTAGCTAGCCGGCTCTGTTGTGATTGGTCAACAGCTTAGAGATGTCCCGCCCCTTAGCCTATGTATAGAGAGGCGAAGTCCCTCCCTTTCCGGTGGACCTCCATGGGAACTTATTTCGTAAAAAGTATGTATTGAAGTCAATGAAGAAAGAAAGATTATCTTTCGATCCCGTTTGAATTGTGCCACGAATTACACATATGATGTTTGTCAATTTAAAAGATAATTTTCCAAGTAAAAAAAAAAAAAATGTGTCGTAAAACTGTGAAGTAACACTTTTTTTGTGTGAAACCGCTCAATGAACTACATCTCCCGTCTCGCACCACACACCAAGACGGCCGTCACGTTGAAACATTTCACTTCTTTCTTTCAGAATGAGGCGAAAAGTATTAAAAGAGGTGAAAATCACTCCAAGTCTAGGCATGTTGAGAGCTGTGCACACACACAAGGGGAGTTAGTCGGTTCCTAAGAGCCAGCATGCGGGACCGGGATTCTGGGATTTGTAGTCTTTCTAGTTGCGTATTTTCATAGTCTTATATTTCAACAGTTTTACGAAAAACTGTGACTTTTTTGACATGGAAATTATTATTTAAGATTGACAAACATCATATGTGTAATTCGTGGCACAATTCAAACGGGATCGAAAGATAAGTTTTCTATCTCCATTGACTTCAATACAGTGTGTGGGAGAGAAACTCCCTCTTGAAGGGACTTTACCCTTTGCAGACCATTGACATGCACAAATACCATACTACAGGAAAGGTAAACCCCCAAAAAGCATAATAAGGCCTCTTTAAAATCACTTACTTATGGCTCTTTGCAATCTTGCCTGATAACTCCATTTCATACATGGCTTGCAGCCGACACTTGACCAGCTCAGTGGGGCAGAGGACTAGCGAGGAGAAAATGGATGCTATTGAGCCAGCACAAGCTTTCTGCACATCACTAGAAGAGAGCAAGGGATAAACAGAAGACAGTTAGAGATCTCAAATGTACCTTCAGGGAAATATTAGATTCGATGCAATAACAAAAAGGACAGCATAGTTAACCTGAGCACAGTCTCATTGGGCAGACCAGCTGAGAGGCGGATGACCTGCTGGCAGAATCCGTAGCTCATGAAGAGCACGGAGTTCTCTGCGATGTTGGCCATCAGAGCGGGGGAGGTGCCTTGGTAGAGACCCCGCAGACCCACCTGTTTGTAGGTGGACGTGATGCAGTGGATGAAACCCCGGTACAGATTAGGAAAGGTCTGCATCTTGACCTTTGCTGTGTCGAGAGGCTGCCCACTGAACACACATGCAGCCCCCCCTGAGAGGAAGACAGTGGGAAAAGAGAAAGAACATGAAGAAACGGAATATTAATGTCACACTAGCACAGTGACGAAGTGTCTCTGTGTTAACTAATCACATGTATGTAAGAAAAAACAAAGCTAGTTTAAACTTCTGTATTTTAGTGAAGTGGTTCTGTTTTAGGCCAGTTGTACTCAGTTGGTTTTTTAACTATTATTTATTTTCTTCCCCCCCTTTTTTTCTTTCCTTTATTTTATGATTTTTTCTTTTTAATTTGTTCTTATTTGTTCTTCTTTATTCTTTTCACTTGGTCTTGTCTTTTTAACATCTTTTTTTTCCTTACCTTTTTTACTACTATTTGTGTTTGTTTTTCTATGTTCCTGTCTTTAGAGAGACAGGGCTTGACAAAATGTGTTGCAATCAACTGAATGGGTCAAAGAGTCAATGTGGAGAAATGAGGCGGAAAAACACCGGAGTCATCAGAAGCTCCTGCTGCGTCAGACAAGGCTTGTTTGGATAAGCAGTGGAAAGGCCGCCTGGTTTACTTTAAAGAGATTCAATAGTGTTGGCTTGCTCTGTTTTAGAGAAGAGTTTAGCAGTTACTGTACCTATGGCTCCTGCAGAGAGGTCAATGGCGGCCTGGACCGCCGGGTGAGGGGCCATGGCGTCCGAGTGGTTTTCAGAAGAGGTTTCTCTTTCTCTCAGCTACCTGGTTAAAAAAAACAAATGCATGTTCTTGAGGCTCCAATCCCTGCTACGTCATATTAAAGCACTGCAATTACTGTAAGCATAAAAAGGAACATAACCAGTCATTTGTTTTCTTAAAACACTTCCATTACACAGAGAATATGGGCATGTTTCCACACAGTTATCAGGGCAGACAACACAGCAACAACAGCAAGGTTATCAAGTTCACTACAATAAAACCTGCCCTCCTACGTGACAATCAGAGGTGGAGAAGTACTCAGATCTTGTACTTGAGATTTAAAATTAGAAGTATCAGAGTGTAGGAATATCGTTACAAGTTAAAGTCCTGCATTCAAAATGTTACTCAAGTAAAAAACAGAAAGCTATTAGCATCAAAATATACCAAAAGTAAAAGTAGTCATTGTGCAGATTGGTACATTTCAGAATAATATAAATTATGTGTTTTATAATGATTGATCATGAAAGTGTTCTCAAAGCTGGTAAAGGTGCAGCTAGTTTGAATTACTTTGTATACTGCAGGGTAGCTGGTGGATTTACTCCAGGTGGAACTAAAGTCTGATTTAAAAACGGATTATATTTCACATCATTCATCCAGATCTCTAAAGTAACTAAAGGTATTCAATTAATGTAGTGGAGTAGAAGTACAAAGTAGCATACAATGGAAATACTCAAGTAAAGTAAAAGTCACTCAAAATGTTACAGTATGTACAGTACAGTACAGTAACATTACTGTACATTTACTGTACAGTAAATGTACAGTAAAAGTACAGTACAGTAAATGTACAGTACTTGAGTAAATGTACTTCGTTACTTCCCACCTCTACTAAACTAAAATGGCATATGATTTATTCTTGTGGGACTTGTGGTGCTCTTGCTGATGTAACATGTTGGCCCCACTTAACATAACAATGCCTAACACAAGGTTACCACCAGTGGGAGACAAAAGGCTATTTATTGTAACGATAAAGAAATTAAATATAATGTCAGATAGCAACACAACTATAAGACACATTTATACTTTAGAGACAAAGAGTAAACACCGTTTCTATTACAAATGTACCACGTGCTGATAATATGTGATGACATTCTTGATAATTTACCGGGGGAAAGTAACTCGGTGCTGTTCAACAGATGGTTACTCTCCAAAGGTGGAAATAATGTGAGAATACAAACCTTACAGAAGGGCAAGAAAGTACAACTGGAGCATGAACGTGTTTCTGGTCCGTTTACCGTGAGAGTCTGCCCTCATCACACGGTGTCAACCCGGGGAGGGGCTGCTGACCCGAGCTAACATCCTCACCGGCAGACCACATGCTAACCCGAGCCAACGCATCCAAACACCCGCAGTTTGTCTCGCTGTTATCTCGTGTGTAACATCTGCACCGGGGTGGTCATTCGGTGTGAACGGTGAGTGGCCCGGCCATCGGTCACGGTGCTGGAGAGGAAGAGAAGCTAGAGGTTGTTACCGGGGATAAAGAGGTCCCACTCCGCAAGAAATCCCAGATACCAGAAGCTCAGTTTTCAAGGATTCAAGGCTTTTATTGTCATGTGTGCTTATATCATATATATATATATATATGATACAGTGTGGTTATGACAATGGAAATCTTAGGTCACAGGCTCCTCCCACAGTGCAACACAATAAAACAGATAAAATAGTGCAAGTAAATAAAATATAATAGAAATCTAGTTATTCTGCCCTGAAAGTCAATTTCTATTAATGTTATTTAAACCTAGAGTGGGAAGTAACTAAGTACATTTACTTTTACTTTACTTGAGTATTTCCATTGTATGCTACTTTGTACTTCTACTCCACTACAATTCAGAGGTAAATGGTGTACTTTTACTCAACTACATTTATTTAATACCTTACTTTACAGATTTGGATTAATGGTGTGAAATATAATCAACTCTTAATCAGACTTTAGTTCCACCTGGAGTAAATTCACAAGCTACCCTGCAGTATACAAAGTCATTCAGACTAGCTGCACCTTTACCAGCTTTGAGAACACTTTCATGATCAATCATTATAAAACATATCATATATATTATTCTGAAATGGACCAATCTGCACAATCACTACTTTTACTTTTGGTACTTTAAGTATATTTTGATGCTAATACTTTTGAACTTTTACTTGAGTAACATTTTGAATGCAGGACTTTTACTTATATCAGAGTATTCCTACACTCTGGTACTTCTACCTAAGTACCAGATCTGAGTTCTTCTTCTTCTTCTTCTTCTTCTTCTTCTTCTTCTTCTTCTTCTTCTTCTTCTTCTTCTTCTTCTTCTTCTTCTTCTTCTTCTTCTTCTTCTTCTTCTTCTTCTTCTTCTTCTTCTTCTTCTTCTTCTTCTTCTTCTGTCTTTCTTCTTCTTCTTCTTCTTCTTCTTCTTCTTCTTCTTCTTCTTCTTCTTCTTCAGTACAAGAAACCAGTACTTTTACCACCTCTGTCATGTAGGCCTAAAATAACCTACAAATAATGTACAGATATAGACACTGAGTGAGATGTCAATATTGGATCTATGACTCGTGAAAGGTAAAGCTTCCGGTTCACAATTAGTTTTTCAAACTAAAACTGTCTTCAGAAAGTGATACACCCTCTGGTGGTTTTTTAGGAGAAGTACTCAGATCTTGTACTTGAGTAAAAGTAGAAGTACCAGAATGTAGGAATACTACGTTACAAGTAAAATCCCTGCAATCAAAATGTTACTCAAGTAAAAGTAGAAAAGTATTGGCATCAAAATATACTTTAAGTAAAAGTATTCATTGTGCAGATTGGTCCATTCCAGAATAATATATATGATATGTTTTATAATGATTGATCATGAAAGTGTTCTCAAAGCTGGTAAAGGTGCAGCTAGTTTGAATTACTTTGTATACTGCAGGGTAGCTGGTGGATTTACTCCAGGTGGAACTAAAGTCTGATTCAACACTTGATTAGATTTAACATCATTCATCCACATCTGTAAAGTAACTAAAGGTATGAAATACATGTAGAGGAGTAATAGTACAACATTTACCTCTGAGTGGTAGTGGAGTAGAAGTACAAAGTGGCAGAAAATGGAAATACTCAAATTAAGTACAAGTATCTCAAAAGTGTAATACAGTCAGTACAGTACTTGAGTAAAGTTACTTCCCACCTCTGCTTTTGCGCTACAACAATCTTAAATAATGAAGTCTTTGGTCGCCCACATTATATTTGTGCAGATTCACTTTTTGGGTTAAAAAGATTTCAAAAAATGTACTCAATAAAATAAGAAATGTATTCTCAGTTTTAAAACTTCCGAGTGAGATCTGTCGAATGCAGTAAAACAAGAGTTGCGGCAGTGCTTCTCAAAGTGTGGTCCGCGGACCACTGGTGGTCCGTGAGTATATTGGTAACATTTCACATTTGAAATAAATAAATAAATGTAAGTTTTCCGCACTCTCGCGGGAATATCTCCGCAATGGAGCGAACTTAAGTTTCACTTTCGATTGCATGAAATAGCCCAGATAAACACCTTCATCACACATGTGGCCACTTGTTTGTACCATTTTCAGGCGATTTGTAAAAAACGATGTGTTTTTGGATATTTGTGGAGTTAGGTGGTCCGCGAGTGTTTTTTTATTGGTTAAGTGGTCCTTGGTATTAAAAAGTTTGAGAAACACTGGTATAAGGTGAAGGATGTGGCTAACAAAGGTCAATACAGCTAATCAATGAAAACCCTTTCCCTCATACTGCGGCTGTTTAACTCCCACAGTGTTGACTTTAAACACTTTGGTAGTCTTAATGGATTTTTAATGGAACCAACCAACATGTGTTGTTCACTCAGTATGACTCAGCATTGAAAGGAGAAAAGTCGTGTTTGTACACAACGTCATATATATTGTACATTTGATAGAGATTACAATAGAGAGATTCATATTTTACTGTCAATATGTACAGTATAGCTTTTCTGTTTTGTTGTTATTTTCTAATTTTTAGAGTAAAGTGCAATGCCTTGTTTACATGCAGCTGGGACATTAAAATCTTATTTAGATAACAAATCTAATCTAATTTAGTCTTTTTGAAACTCTTCCCACAAGAATGGTATTTTCTTTATCCGACCTTTTTTTAGTTTGAAATAGGTTGAACAACTAATAATTAATTAGATTTTTTATAACGTTGCAAACGCACCAGAGACAGTGGTTGAATATATGATATCTTTTTTAAATTCAACTTTTAACTGTATACTAAAAGTGTTATGTATAATTTATTTAATTAAAGAGCCTCATTCCCGTGCCATATACTTTTTCTAAGCACATTTTTACTTCAACTTCACATGTTTATACAACTATTTACTTTATTCTAATGTTGTGAAACTGTCACAACACTTAATTACAGCTGGAATTAATAAATGGGGTGAAGCCTGCGAGCTAGTTCAGGCAGTCAACTTGAGCACCAAGGATACATTTACACTTGACACATATTGTATTGTATACATTACATTACATGTTACTTGTTACTTGTTGGACGCTGTTATCCAAAGCGACTTACATACTGTGGACAATCCCCACAGGAGCAATTTGGGGTGAAGTGTCTTGCCCAGGGACACAACGACTATGATAACTGCAGTGTGCTCCCCTGATCCGAACACCAACGCACTAACCCACTGCGCCACACGCCTCCCATATATACACCTGTAGGCTCGGGGGGGATAGTTATCTAATCACTCAATATTCTATGTAAATCTGTGGAGCGATGAGGCCCGAGCCTGGACGCCAAAATCAAACTATCTGCTGGTTCTAATAAACATATCAAGAAGCACGTGAGGTGTCCGACTAAAAGTATATTCTGATTCTAATCGCAAGGATTTCTCTCCACCTGTAGATTGCAGATTCAAGGGAGAAATATGCTATTCAAACACCAAAAAGTCCTTAAAGTCACATTGTTGTTATTCAATTAAATATCATAGTAAGTAGCCAGGGATTAAATACATGTGCCCCCCTCTGTCCACAGGCTTATGGCTTACGACAGTCTAGACCAGGGGTGTCTGAAATACGGCCCGATAACTTATTTAGCATAGTAAGCTTGACATCTACCCTTCCTATTTCCCCCTTATGAAAAGCAATCTGAGGCTTCTGTTGTATGGGATGAGCAGCCAACACTGTTTGTAATAAAATAAATGAAACCCTATGGAGAGCTGTGATGTAGGCTGCTTTTTTTAATAAAGCATATTCAAGTATCAAGCATCATTTTCCTACATTTGATTGATTTTGACAACTTATAACTTAACTCAGGGGTGTCTTTCAAGCTTATATGTAAATAAGTGGTTGGGACTTTTTTATCAACTACGATTGACTGAATTTATTAGAAAAACTATGCTTATTAACACATGAACACTGTGTCATATTTTTGACATACTGTATATAAGAAGCACAACATAAGCTTCATGTTTGGCCGTATTACATTAAACTGAATAATTAGGGCCATTTCAAAATGGACAACAGGCCGTAGTTTGGACGCCCCTGACTTTACTTATTGAGGCAATATACCTCACCTCTAATAGGGGGCCCATCCCTTCGTATATATTTCTGCATGCGACCCTCAGGGAGAAAGGTTTAGACAACCCTGCCCTAGACTCACTCAACTAAAAGTTGCCGCACCTCGTCCATGTAGGCGTTTCAGATCAACAGACATTATACAAAAACTCACAATTTTCCATTTTCATCTCACTTTTTCCTTTATCAAAAAACATTGACGTTGTCTACATCACAGACAAGAATCATCAATATTCTGTTCTAAACAATTTCGCCATGAACAGAATAAACCCCATGCCCATCCCTCCCCTGGAGCAAACTCCTCTATACACAGTATACTTTACATCGTTTACGTTCAGTCTTTTTGCATTTTACATCATTATCAAAGTAGTATCAACAGCTTTAAAATACATACAATGCTCTTTTCCCATTGTAATTATACTCGATATCCTGATTGTACATACAGTATCATTTCCCACAGTTAGAGTTAGAGCTCTTTTCAACACAAAAAGGTTTCCGCATTTCATTCAAAACACTCGCAGAATTTGAATGACTCATACATGAGAGGAATTTCAAGCCGTATGTCATGAGAATGGAAACACTGCTTTTGAGCACAACATACTATCAAATGATATTTACTCGACTCCAGTTTTTATTCATGCCTTTCCTTCCTGTTAGACGTCAGTAATATCCGTCTCAGACTCTCGAGGGGCTTTACTACCAACTGTTACGTCTGCCCGAAATTGAGATTATGAGGTACAGTCAGAGAATCTCGCTAATCCCCAATTAGAAGAGTTACACTGAGGGAATAACAAAGAGATTATAAAAGATCACTGTAACAAAAGAGAAACACAAGTTATAAAACCAGTCCATGTAGTTGAGTTGTTTGGCAATATAGTTTCCTGTGTTGAGCACAAACTGTTTGGCAGTAGTGGGCTGTGCTCAATCTACCTGGTAGGGTTCAAAACAGTGATTTATACGTGCGTGACAAATTGGTAAAAAAAATCTAATTAGCTTTGCGTCACAGAAGCTCAGAGATCTCTATAAAACTTTGGCACCAGTCTTTCGCGAAGGAAATGTGTGCCAGGTGTTGCTCACATCTGCAATTTGAATACTAAAGAAATGTATGGAAGACTTTTTCAGAAGCTGGTTCAAATGTCTCTGAATGCATTGATTTCATTAATGACCGCAGTAATGACAGACAAACAATGATACCTCCAGGATTAAAACACTCACATTACTTTTCATGTGTATCGGCATGTTAAGCATTTGTCAACTTATTTGGTTT